TTCAGTCGGTGGCCGCACCGACGAAGACGCGCCTCGAGCTCCAAGCAGTGGCGGTAGTAGTGGACGTAGAGCCGATACCACACAAAGAGCGTTGTCCCAATGCGATAGAAAAACAGCCCATAGTCAAAACCACGTGGCCGCAGCTCTGCCTTGACAAAGTAGAGCGTGACCACCCGATCTGGCGTGTCGGTACGAGCCGAGATGGCATCGCCAGGCACGAGCCAGAGACACGACCGACCATACTCGTACGTGAACAAGCGAGATTGGAAGCATGCGTTCTCGGCGTCATCCACAGCACTCGTCGCATTGTGGAGCGTCGCGCAGATGCGCTGCATATTGGCGTTGGTGTAAAAAACGAGTCCCGGCAGGCCCAAGAGCGAGCGCGCAAAACACTCGTCAAAGCTCAAGGCTGGCTGCGCATGCAGCGTGATGATGGCGCGGGCGACTTGGGCGTTCGTCGTCTCGTCAGCGAGGAACGTTGTGCCCGCCGGCAGCGTCGTGTTGGAGTAGAGCCGTTGGTTGCGTGCGAGAAACGCAACGTTGAAGTCCGAGTAGTTGGTATACGCCGCGGGTGGAAAGCTCGAGCCTTGCCACGGGAGGGGCTCGGAGATGTAGGCCGCCAACGGCTACATTATGCAGTCAACAAGAATCAAACAAAGGTGGGTACGTACCAAGGACGAGACATTGAGCATCGACACTACGCAAGCATAGAAGCCGAACCGATGGCGGCGCACGCGGTAGCTGCTTCCAGTCGTTGGTGCGGCCCCAACTTTGCTGCGTGACATGGGTTCTTCTTGTCAGTCTGCCAAGAGTGCCGGTGGAATTCCTTATTCGTGCCCAACAATGTAGCAGTAGACCAAGATGCAGCCTTTTTATCCGTTGCCAGCGGTGCCCGTTTTAGCCTAGCCACAACCGCCAAGCCAGTAACGAGCTCACGTTTCATTTCATGCCAAGCGTAGTAATCGTGTGCGAGCCAAGAAGCAGACTGAGTATACCTAGGAGCCAGCGGCAAGGCTGCATAGTGTAGTGTTGAGGAACGAGAGAGATGAAGCTCGAGGAGGCACGCGCAATGAGCCAACACACAAGTGTTTTGCAGCCGAACCCTTCTACTGTGCTTGCTTGATGGTATTAAACTTGTTTTCATGTCACCGGAGTCGTGGATCGATCGTGCCATCGCAGTAGACGTACTGCTTCATCCAACGGAGGAGCGAGAGATACCGGTATGAACGTCTTGCCGCAGACGGCATTCGTGCCCTTGAGCGCAGCGGCGCGGATTGCTCTTTCTTGAGCCGCGGCCGACGATGCACGCACGAGTGAGCGACCTCAATGGCCGGTCATGCTTGTCCTTCGTAGTGTGCTGATTAAGCCACACGTGCACAGCTCACGCACACCAGTCGCCACGTGGCGGCCAAGCGAGCGCTACGAGTGGCGTCGCATCAGACGAGATTCCAGCGCCGAGCTCGATGAGTTACCACATCTTGGTGACCACTACACGACTACAACTCTCAACGACAGCTTAGAAAGACATTGGCAGGGCACAATCCCAACACACTGAGACATGGCAACTCGACATGGCGCCGCGCCACATTTGTCACATCCAATACATTTCTGGACGTAGCAGCCAAGCAAGCAATGACTAATACATTTATAGATCGATATTACTGGGGCGGTTGAGCCTGGCTAAAATGGGCGCTGAAGGTAACGACGGCTCAAAAACGCTCGATCATGGTCTACTCTCATAATCTTTTTCTCACGAAGTGATTGATTTGTGGACCCATGTCACGCCCCAAAGCTCGGGCGGCGCGGACAACTGGAAGCAGCTATCGCGTGCGGCGCCACCGACTTGGCTTCTATGCTTGCGTAGTGTCGATGCTCAATGTCTCGTCCTTGGTACGTACCCACCTTTGATTCTTGTTGACGACACGGTCTGTACTAGCCGCTTATAGCTTACATCTCGGAGCCCCTTCCCTGGCAAGCGTCCTACTCGTCACCCGAGAGATACGCCAACTACTCTGACTTCAACGCAGCGTTTCTCGCACTCAACCAACAGCTCTACTCCAACTCGACGTTGCCGGTGGGCTCAACGTTCTTGGTGGACAAGACCAACAACGTACGAGTCGCCCGCGCTCTCCTCACGTTGCACGCGCAGCCAATGAGCTTGGATGAGTGTTTCTCCAAATCGCTCTTGGGGCTCCCAGGGCTCGTCTTTTACACGAGCGCCATCATTGAAAACATCTGCGCAGCGCTCAACAATGTGACGAGTCTTCGAGAAGATGCCGAGAACGCATGCTTTCATTCTCGCTTGTTCACGTACGAGTATGGTCGGTCGTGTCTCTGGCTCGTGCCTGGCGATGCCATCTCGGCTCGTACCGACACGCCAGATCGGGTGGTCACGCTCTACTTTGTCAAGGCAGAGCTGCGGCCACGTGGTTTTGACTATGGGCTGTTTTCTATCGCATTGGGACAACGCTCTTTGTGTGGTATCGGCTCTACGTCCACTACTACCGCCACTGCTTGGAGCTCGGGGCGCGTCTTCGTCGGTGCGGCCACCGACTGAAGATGCCACCAGGCGACTGGTCGTACAAGATCGTGCTGGGCGATCCGACCGCCATCGTGCTCAAGGATGCATGGGTCGCGTCCCTCTACTACCTAGATATTTGGATCAACATCACCAACTTTGGCGTCGCGACGATGCAAATTCAGGTCAGCGGCAACTTGAGTCTTGTACTGCAAGGTGTCCTTTACCTCGCACGCTCGGTACGACGTTCCATATCGAGTCGCAGAATGGTGATGACGAACTCTTGGTTGTAGGTCTGGTTTGCGTACTGGGGTCTCTGCCTGGTTTCCTTCCTACTGAAGCGCTGGAAGAAGCAACATGCTTTTTCCGAAGTCGACCCGACACTTGTTGCAATCGCAGTGACTGTCTACTGTCCCGCGTTTGTGTTGATGTTGAAACACATCGAGACTTGTGCCCGGCTGTACCGACGCCTCTTTTACTATCTCGTGCCCACAGACCTCCAAAGCCAAGAGAGCGAAGCGGCTCTCGTTTGTATCATCTATACCTTGACAACGCTGAGCTTTCCGCTGGCTTACGGCTTGGCCGCGGGTATCTATCGACGAGGCAAGAATTGGCACTAATCATGGTGCGCGTCACTAGGCTGCGTTCGTCGACCACGGTCGATCCCAGCGGACTGTAGCTCTGTTGGCTTCAATGGCATCAAGAGCGCCGCCTTGTTTCAAGCCTCCAAAGCCCTGCACATTGCACCGCGACGGCCTGCGCGCGGTGGCACCATCTACCACGTGATGGACTTGAACCCGCGCCTGAAGTTGTGTCCGACGATCAACCTGCGGGGCACCGACTGCTTCGTGCTCTGCTACTACAATGGTGCGCTCACCGAGCGGCTGCGCCTGAGCCTTCTCTCGGGCGTCAACTTTAAGCGCGCGGCGATTCCGCACAGCAAGGCGCCGTCCAAGTACGTCGTCAACGAGTTGCGCGCGACGGTGTCTTCCGTGCCGAAGGAGTGCAGTCCCGTTCTGCATCCCAAAAGGAGCTACGAGATTTGCATGTCACCTGAGCCCTCCGTCTGGAGTCTTTAGAGAAATTTACTTGGTGCGTCAAGTCAACGAGCGAGGAGCAGCTTACTAGTAGTCAGTCGTAACAGAACATAAATTCTTGATCCAACAATACCCTGGAATGCGTGCATGCATATACTGTATACTTGGACTTGAGAACATCGCCGCCGCCACGAGCTTCGTGGCCATCCGCGCTTCGTGATATGGCGGGTCCACCGCCCGGGCTGCGGTATGAGTCACTGCGATTGGCAGTGCCCTCCACCGGGTAGAATTGTCGGTTGAGTGAGTAAGTCATTGCGATACACAGTGCCATAACACGATCGACACCGCGTATTCTATCAAGAGCTTTACGGTGCATCACACCGGGTGCACCAACGCATCGTGAACCGTCGATGGGAAAAGGCTGCCTTAGATTTCTCTATATTGGATGCACGGAGCGGCATAACATCGTCATTCGCCGTCAAGGCGGCACGCGTCGCTCAACTGCACTTGCACCACAGCCTCGTCCAAGAGCCCGAGCAGCCTGCTCTTCGTCGACTTCTTCGGCTCCTCGCCCAACACGAGCGGCCGCGACGTCACCTCGCCCGCGGATCGCGCTCCTGCCTCCACCAGCCTAAATCAAGTCCCTCAACCGAGTACACACAACGAAGAAAGTCCGACATTCTTATTTAGCATAGTTTTATCTAATGTAATAGACGACCCACTTCAACTACAACATTGTCATTCGTGGCGACCCACGCTTCATGATGTGGCTCGTCCATCACCCGAGGTGCGTGCGCGAGCCTCGAAACCAACCCGAACTCGTCGAAGTAAAATCCCTGTCGTGCGAAACACTGTCTTGCCATAAATTCCTCGAGCACGGTTGACAGAACTGCCCAAGCAGCAAAACAAGCCAAGGCGCAGCGCGGTCTCGCTCAAGCCATTCCTCAATTTGGCAGCTCATAGCAATTTAGACTGCCGCTCCTCGCGCTTGTCTCTAATTTTGCGTTTCATGAGTTTTCAGAATTTCGGTTTTACGGATGACAGAGGGGGCAGCGTCGTCGTCGTGTCGGTCAACTTGAAAGCTATGCCACACGACAACATACAGATACAAAGAAATTCTATTGAGATTTACGCTACTTGCTGGCGGGGTGTTAAATTAGTGGGTTGGCGATGTGACCATTGGCTCCGTCGCGATCAAGAGCGCTTCCAGCCGCGCTTCGAGGTCGACTGCCGTCGGTCGATCGTCGGGTGAAAACGCCATGCACTCGAGCGCCATTTCTCGCAACCAGTCGGGACACGTCTCGGAGAGCGTCGGCTTGATCTTGCCTTGCATGACCTAAGACGACAAGTTGATTGCATGCGTCGACATGGCGGCGGTGTACCTTGTACATGATGGTAAAGTTGCCAAGCGCCTGGCCCCGGTCGTTGACCATGTCAGCGTACGGCACCGCGTGCGTATCGAGCTCCGTTAGAATCTAATCGTTCAACAATCAAATGAGCCTTCAAATTCGCGATAGGGGTAGGGTCTACCATCCCAAACGAGTAAATGTCGGCTTTGGTGTCGTAGTGCTTGCCCTTGAGCACCTCGGGCGCCGTCCAGCGGTACGTGCCGACCGCGTTCGTCATGCTTTCGTCGGTGGCGTCGCGCGCGATACCAAAGTCGCCCAGCTTGGCGTCCAGCGCCGCGGTGAGCATGACGTTGCGTGACTTCAAATCCCGGTGGATCACCTACATGTTTTCTTGTATTTTCCACCGTGCCACATGCAAACAAATCGCGTACGTTTTGGTTGTGGAGGTAGACGAGGCCCCGGGTCATGTCCCGCGCGCTGCGAATCTTGTCGCGCCACGGGAAGAGCACTTCCTTGTCTTCGGTCGTCGCTTCGAGGTACGTTTGGAGGTCGCCTTTCTCCATGTACTCGACGACGCACTTCATATCGGCAAGGTGCGTCCACGAAGCGCCCACAAACTGCACCAAGAACGGGCTGTCAAAGCTACATCCATATTCCATAAGAACGTAGTGGGGTCGTGGAGAAGAGACGGACCGGGACATGAGTTCGATCTCTTGGATGAACGTCTCGATGTTCTTGATGGTCGCATTGTCTTCGCGAAGCCTTTTGACGGCCACGAGCCGGCCGTTGTAGTCGCCGAGGACCACTTCGCCGTACGCCCCGCGCCCGAGGATCGTGTCGAGGAGCTTGACGTCCGTGTTGAGGCGGTGCGGCGTGAGCGACGCCGTCACAGACGCTTCAATGGAGCTGAGGAACTTGAGCTGCTCCTCTTTATCCGACGAAAGCTCAACGAGGGCCGCAAAATTGTTGTCAATCATGGACCGCGACAGCTTGTGCCGGCGCACGCGCATGACCAGGTACACGATGCAGCCCATGACAAAGGCGCTGCCGAGGCACACACCAATGATCATCGCGGCCGTCCACGACTTGCCTGCGCTCCGATCATAAGACAGCTTTTCCACACTACCTCGAATGACCTACCGACGACACAGGCGCTAAAGCTGTCGTGGCGCGACGAAGCGGTTTTGAGCTCGCCCATTTCGCACACGGACGTGCCCTGCGACGAGACAAAGGTGACGTTGCCCGCTTGCAGCGATCGGAACGTCGCGTCGTCCACCGTCAGCGTCGCGAGGCCTTTGCCTTCGAGGATCCTAGTGACAATCATATGTCTTGCAGGTAGGACAATATTGTCTTCGTACAAAGTGATGTTGTCGTGGCTGTCGACGCTGTTGAGCGTGATCTTGCGCAGCGCGTTGCTGGAAAAATCCCTACAGCCGACGTCAGCGTGCGATTGGCTCGAGTGTAGACGGTACAGAAAGCGCGCGTGGTTAAAGTCCTTCAAATCCAACGTGCGCATCCGGTTGTTGCACATGACCCTAGACTCGCAGGATGAGACGTCGAGGAAGAGAGAGAGTGGACGCACAGCTCCCGCGACGACGGAATCCCCTCGAAGGTCTCGATGCTGTTGTCGGAAAAGTCCCTAATATCAAGTTTGAGGCGGCGTGTTGTCGACTTGACAAATGTGTACAAGAAGTCGAGGTTCTTGGGCCAGTTGCCGGTCGCGTCTTCGCGAAACGACATGAGTTTGTTGCTTCGAAGCGACCTAGCGACCAAGCGATGACGTTCACGCGTCAGTATATACATGCGACGTACAGGCGCTTGAGGGACGAAGGCCACGGGTACGCGTCGCTCATGGCGCCCCAGCCGCAGTTGACGCACTCGCTACAATCACGCATCTGCTCAGCACACGAGCATCAAGTGCGCGCGTACAAGGACGTGAGCGCGGGCAGCGGCGGCGCATTTGTTGCGAGGTTGCTCCACGTAATGTTGACGAGCTTGAGGTTCTCGAGCGTTGAGACGCTTGTCGCGTTGAAGAATGACACGTTGGCGTTGCGGATCGTCCTAGACAATATTGTCCATAAGGCACATTATACGTGTGATGGTGTAGACGGGTATACAGTGCGTGGATGTTGGGGAACGAGAGGATCGCCAGGGAAAAATTGGGTTTGCCTTGAAAATCCATCGTCTCATCACGGCCGAAGAAGGGTTCGACCTCGCGGCACTGCACGTCGACGAGGCAGAATTCGGCACCTTTGGAGAGGCAGTTGGTGCTCGTCAGCGCCTGCGTTGCGTTGGGAAAGCACGCGGGCACGACCACGATTTGGCCTTGGTCTAGTAAAATGAGAAAAATGAGAAAATAAGAAAATAAGAAAATGAGAAAAGGAGGACGCACTCGGGAAGGTACTGCTGGGCACGACGCAAATGCCTGTCGAGAGAAAGTTGGGCAGCGTCTGGAGCACCGTGTTGCGCGCTTCGCAGTCGGCCGCGAGGGATGTCGCACTCGGGAGCGCTTTGGCGTTTTGCAGCGTCGTGAGCGACGCCGCGTCGGTTTGAAAGATTGAGATGTTGCAGTTGGCGCATCGACTAGACATGACATCGCCGGTTGACATGACGCAGGAAGCACGAAGCGACGTCGTACAAGCTAAACTGGTTGCGCGGCGTCCCGACGTTGTAGACGGTCACCACCGGGTTGTTGTCGAGGATCCTACACCATGCAGCATTTTCGCAACAGAATATCACACTGACACTTTGACGCACAGCGACGTGGCGTTCTCAAAAGCGATCGTGCGCACGAGCTTGATCCAGTTGTTTGAGAGATCGCTACGTGCCGATGATATGAGCACAGGCCTACGAGCAGTCGTTGACGTACAGGATCTCGGCGGGAGGAAAGTCTTCAAACTGCCGAACGGCGTTGTTGCGACCCGAGCTACAACCCCAAATGCGTGAGCCAGAATGGGCGATTTGTTTGCCGTCCTACAAGGTCGCGAGCGGCACCACGGGGCCCGACCGGTTGTAGAAGGACTGCGTGAGGCTGCTGAACGAAACGACGTCGGCGCCCTCGATGGCCCTAGCCCACCGTGAAATCATGCCTCGATCATATCGGGTCGTACAAGTGCTTGAGCTGCGGTGGCCAATCGCGGACGCGGAACTGGTCGAGGTCGGACGCCCCGTTGATCATATTTCTACGGGCTACGATGAGGGCTTTGTCCTGCTTGGATGTATGTTGGTACAGCGACGTGAGCTCATAGGGCAGATAGACGTCGCCCATAATCAACGGGTTGTCGATCAACGTCCTAGACGAGGCCTTCGACATTATGCATCGCTCGATCAAAGATGTCACGCACAAGTTGGCGACGAGCGCGGTCTCGACGCGGTACAGCGACGAAATGTTGAACGAGGTCGGCGCTGACGTGGGCACGGGCAGCTGCGAGAGCGGCATCCCGATCCGGACGAGGCCGTTGCCGCGGAAGACCCTACGCTCATGTTGCGTGAGGCGTTGCTCTGCGCTTTTGCAAGCGATCATAGGTACAAGGTCGTCCTGTTGGGCAGATTCTCAATGAGCTCGATGCGGTCGTCGATCTCCACGACCGACGAGTTGAAGACCTTGGTGCGCTGGCACTTGCTGTCGACGAGACAGGCGGTCGACGGAGGGCAGAACGGCACGTCGAACGAGAACGTCGAGGCGTACGTGCCGAAGGGACACGTGATGGACCAGTCGACCGTCGGCGTCGGGGCCGTCGGGGCCGCCACCGTGCTCAAAGTACTCATACCGGCAATTCCAAATGCGCCATTTGGCGCCGGGTTTATCCCCGCCAATGCGAGCTTGCACTTTGTATGGCGGCTGCGAAACACACGATTACACACGCAGCGGTACACTGTATGCTTATCCGGTTAGAAATCCGGATAAACCAACCGAATTGCCAGAGATAGTGTGTCACGGTCGACGATTATACCGTGCAAGACACACACACGCTCCCAGCCGCGTCCAGCTTTGGAGTTGATGCAAGCAACTAACTACAGTAGTTAGTTGCTTGTACACGACCAAGGATTTTTACGCAGTGCTTGCGGAACTGGACTCTACTAGTTATTACACTCGAGGGAAATCGTACGCCGAGAGTGAGAACGCAACGACTTGGTCTTCTGCAGCTGGTTGAAGCACGATCCCGATCAGATCCGGTCCACTCTCGACTGCGGCAACTGCGCCGGTCACGCCGGTCGTACGTGACGTCCACGGACAGCTTTGTCCCGGGCTAGTTCTCGCGCAAGCACTAGTACGTTGTATGGACTATATTAATTATGTTACGAGTTGGTAGTCTAGCTATAGTGCTGTAAATTAACCATAATTCCTGGTGACTTCGGCCAGCCGTTGCGCGAGGATCGCAGGCGAGTTGTGCTTGTTGACAAGGTAGACAAATCGGACATCTTCAAAGCGGGCCGACGTCGGGTGCGTCCATGACCGCAGCAAGCCGGCCACGTCGCGGACGAGGAGCCCGGCCTCCTCCATCGCGCACACTTGGACGTACATCTCTTCGCGGAGGCAGAAGTGCATGTCGTACTCCAACGTGACTTCAGGGGCCGGCGGCGCGGGCGCGTGCTGGATCGCTTTCGCAGGCGACTGGTGCGTGGTCGTGATCGTTTGGCTCGCGACGACGCGGAGGATGTCGAACGCGCTCTGGTTCTTTTCCTGGCTTGTCACGGACGAGAGCGATGGCAGCGGCTTCTTCATGACGACGATGGGCGGCGGTGACTGTGTCGGCAGCTCCTTGTCGGCGAATTGCGGCGAGTTGAGGAGCTTGGAGAGCAAGATCAGCGATCCCTTGCCCTTCTTCGCGCATGGCTTGAGCAGTTCATCGGGACTACGCATCGTCGTCGTCGTCGTCGTATTGTGACAGTCGTCTTCGTCCTCGGGCTCGATGCTGCGAGGTTTCGACGTGGCGGGCTTGCGCCGGCTGCTGACCATCACAACCTTGGGGTCGTCGGTCGACGTCGCTGCGTCGTCTTCAATGTCGTGGTCCGAGTCGCTCGAGACTTCGACGATCGGCTTGGGCTTGGGCGCGATCGGCCGGAACGCATCGTGGCTGCTGCCGCGGTCGTCGGACCGGCTGCGCTTCCGCGGCGCGACCTTCTCGAGCTCGAGCGGCCGCTTCGTGTCTGGCTTGGCTTTGGTCGGTTCGTCGCGCTTCTTGGCAGGCTTCTTGGCGGTCGTCGTCGTCGTGTCGTCGTTGGTCGCTTTGGTCGTCTTCTTCGCTGGAGGCTCGTCCTTCTTGACCGGCGCCTTCTTGGTCGTTGCTGTGACGAGAGGCTCCTTGACAGCTTCATCGCTTGCGGCTGGCGCTTTCGCGGCCTTGGCGGTCTCGGGCTTGCCAGCCTTGGTCGTTGGCGACGTCGGGGCGGCTCGTTTCCGCGCCGGGCGGTCGGTCTCGTCACTGTCGGCGTCGGGGCGGCGGCTCGACTTGCGCGGCGGCGGCTCCTTCTCGCTGCTGCTGGTGACGGCAACGGGCGCCGAGGCCGCGCGGCGCGTTCGCGTCGTGGCTGGCGTCTCGGTTGCCGACGCCTTCGTTGGTTGCTTGTTGTCTTTGATCGACTTGAGCATGGCTTTCCGGAGTGCGATCGTCTCGCGTTCATGCTTGAGCTGCTTGAGAGACGGGCGACCTACCTTGCGCTTTGGCAGTTCGGGCAAGGCCGCCTCGTCGTCGTCGTCGTCGTCATCGGCGGCGGCGACCGTGGGCTTTGGCCGGATCGGCTCGATGCGTTCGTGCACCTTGGGCTTGCGGTTGGCTTTGGCGTCGCCGTAACAACGTTCGCAGACGTAAGACGTGTGTTTGTAGCGGCCGCTGGCCTTGATGGGCGGGAGGCACGCAATGTGGAACCAATGGTTGCAGCTGTCGCACGCGAGGCTTTCGTTGACGCGCTCGTCGTCCATCTTGTACCAGCCGTCAAACGACTTGGACCATTTGACAAAGTGGATCTTGACCGAGTCTTCGGCTTCGTTGACTTCGGTGACGATCGCATTGTACAAGACAAACTCAAACTCGACGAGCACGAGTTGGTTGACTTGGAGGCCGACTTCTTCGTTGGCAAAGCCCTTCTTGCAGCCGCCGCAGCCGACGTTCCAGTCGTTCTCGTCGAGCTCGCAGCCCTTGCAGACAAGACTCGAGTTTTCGGGATGGTCTTCGTCGACGTCAATGACGACGCCCATCTTGTCGGCGCAGCGCTTATGGAGGCCTTGGCCGCACATATCGCAGAAGACGTGGCAGTTGGCCTTCTCGCAGTGGAGGCATGGCCGCAGCTTCTGCTTGGTCGTGATAAAGTCGCAGACCTTGCAGTTGCCGGCGCCGTCGAGGAGGTTGAACTGGCACTTGGGACACTCGTCCGAGGGGCGGCTGCGCTTGGCCGCAGAGCTCATGATGGAGCTTTCCTTCCTGGGCGGGCGTCTGCAATTTGGGAAGTGAAAACGGACCTGCAGCTGTTTGCCTTTCAAAGCCACAAACCTCTCACATTCGATACTTCCGGTCTTGAACTTTGACTGGCCGTGTTCCGTCAACAGGGTCATATCACCTTGTGGAGGTTGTCACCCGCGTCCAGTGACACCATCGCGCTGGTGTCACATCCCGCGGTCTAAACGCACGCCATTTTAACCCCAACTGTTCTGGATGGACGCGCCTGCCGATCACAAACGGACCTACGTGACCCCATCTGTTGCGTGCAAATAGACATGTCCACCCACTACTCTTTTATTGTCGTCGGGTACTACGGAATACAAATACCAAGCTTGTTGGATTGGTGCGCATTAAAATACAGGAAGAACACTTGGGCAGAGATACGCGGCTGAATGGATGCGATATCAAGTAATATGTATGGTATACAAATATGGAGATGAAAATCCGTGGCACTGGACTGGTGGACGGGCGTATTTCGAAGCTGCGAAACTACCTTGGTGTTTGTATGTGGGTGGCGTCATAAAATAAAAAGACGCGTGCGCCCTTCGAAATCGAATCCAATTTTTGGACGTAGTGGGATCCATCCTTCGAGATTTTGAGAAGCGGTCGCGAGCGGGCGCAGCGCCATTGCCACTTCCTCGCTCCGACGCGCATGGCCTCGACGATGCAAGACGACGCATCGAGGGCATGGGCTGGACCATGGCAGGTGCATGCGTGCTCCATGCGAAGACGTCCATGGACGAGCCAATGCATTCATGAAGACCTGATTACGACGCGGCGAGACGCGCTTCGATCTGCGTGAGCCGACCGCCGAGTGTAGCCATGCTGGCCTCGATGCGATCCAAGCGAGCGTCGAGATGCGATTGCAGGCGATCAAGTAGCAGTGCGAGACCAGCTCCGTCCGCGACGGCCGCGGGAGGTGGGACACGCAGCGAACTGGTCAGCGGCAAGCGACGCGATCGGGTCGAACATGTCTTGAGCGTCGGCGTAAAGAAGAGGCGCGTGGGCTTGAGAGTATCCACGACGTCAATGGCATCGTCGCCAAGGCGCAGCCCACGAAGGACGCGGCCGTCGTCGTCCGCTACCGGTAGCATTGTCTCGACCAGCTCGAGTGCATCGCCCACGACGCGAAGAAGCACGATGGCCGCCGACGCGTGCGACCCGAGAACGGCATGACGTCGCTAATAGCATGCTACACGGTAAAACATCATGCGTTGACAGCAATGAATGTACATGGCAGTGCATGAACGTGGGTATCGCGAACGCCGGAATGGGCACGGAAGACATGGTGGACGAGGAAGCGTTCTTCCAAACGACACAGTGGGCCTGCGCGACCATCGCCTACCAAAGGCATGAGCTACACGTCCACCACGTCCATGATATTACGCTGTGCGAGTTGGCTTTCTCTGCAAGCCTGTGGGCGCTGTGGAGCTCCTAATCAAGACAAGATAATAGAACCATGCACAAGGGATGTCGTATACGAACCGGCAGCAAGAGCAACGACGAGGGCGCGTCGGACTTTGTGACGTGCATGAGGTCCACAACGTCAGTGCTGGCGTCGACTACTGGCATCAATGGGTCTTCCATGGGTCGGGCGCGAATGGTGAAGCCTCCAGCAGGCGTCGTCGGTCTACGCTCGATTCATTCGTGGTTCTCTTGAAATCGCATCGCACCGCAAGCAGGTCTTGACCTCGGTCGCCAGTAAAAACGAGTCGCCGCCGAGACAGCCAACGGCCGTGATGTCGCCGCACGTGGCGTCATCCACTTCGCACAAGACATCTTCCTGCGGCCGCGCGTACGGGCCGATCGTCGCACTGCTTGGCCACGAGTAGACGCGGGCGCTCGTCCCGGCAGCTCTGCACACAGTCATGGTCGTTCATGCAATGTAGGTTGTGGCAGTAGCGTACATGACGAGGGACGTGCCTGCCTCGTTCCAGCACGACGATTGTTTGACCGCGGTCGCCCAGGGCAAGGCAACCCCATCGCCATCGAGCGCCATCAAGGGCGTGAGGAACTGGACGCAGCCAAGCATGTGCACCTGTACACATGGCATGATTGTCGTCAGTGCATTGCATGGCTGCGTACCGCCAACAGCGGCCGCGACGGATGCCACGTGATGTGGAGGACCCGGGCCGGCGCCACCCAGTGGAGGCAGCGTGTGGGCGCTCCTTGGGCGTCGTAGACCTCGACGTGGCGCTGCGTCGCAATGGCCACGTACGCATCCTTGCTGGTGCTCCAGGCCATGCAGCGAAACGGCTCGCTGCTTGCGCTTGCGTCGTGCAGAAGCGTGCCATGGCCCAGCGTCAACCCGTCGTCGCTGGCAGCGATGGGATAGAGGCCGACCTGCGACGATGGGGGCAATGGCAGTGCAATGCAGTGCCGGCTAGCATCGTATCCTATAAGAGA